GTATCCCACGACCCCAACGTCAGATCATTTGATAAATGGCGAAAGTTCCAGATCACCCTAATACCACAGCTCCATTCATCACGTTGTCGGGGGGTTGGCTGATTTTGTATGACGGGTTAGCTATAGTAGAAATCCTAGTAGGTCAATATGCCTTACAGTTTCTTCATATGAAAAACCAAGATTCCCAAATGCTTTTTGGGCTAGCTTTGATATCCAAGTTGTTTTTGTGCCGTTGATGATATCTTTGCTCGCATTTGAATCATAGTGGCGGATCATCCTCTTCCTTTCGTTGACTTCAAGAAGAGAAAAATGATCCCCATGGTTGATAGGACGGTAATAAACCAAAGACGTTGAGAAATTTGGAGCATTTCCAATTTTTCGCCGATCATCTTCGATCTCCTTAGCCCAGCTTGCTAATGGATCCTTCGCCTTTTTTTTCTTTTCAGATCCATCCTCATATAATGGGATGCTCAAACCATATCTAACATACCATGGTCTGTCCGATATTGACATCGCGGCATATATGGTCCAAGAGTTTAGCCACGTATTAGGTCGAAGTAGCTGGATACTTTAGAACCTCCGCAAATTGCAAGCGTATCGTACTCATCTAACTTCTGTTGATCTAACACATTCTCTTCGATGCTTTTGATTAATGAGTTGATGGCTATGTCAAGTNAGATGTCACCGGATACTTTAGAACCTCCGCAAATTGCAAGCGTATCGTACTCATCTAACTTCTGTTGATCTAACACGTTCTCTTCGATGCTTTTGATTAATGAGTTGATGGCTATGTCAAGTTTTTCAGGTGGTAATTTGTCCTTAGGGTGCGAATTAGTAGCGTTCATAAGGATAATTAGGTTGGTACTTACTTGTTTCAAGATATATTCATTTTGTAGCGCCTGTATCTCACTCTCCGATAATAGCTTTTTACCGTTGAGATCCGCGTAAAATACTTGAAGATCAGGAAGACCATGATCAACTAGTCGTTGGAGCTGCGGGCTCAGAGTGGCAAGGAGTTCCATGTGTTGGTGATTATCCTTGATATTTTGTATCGTAAGATCAAGATCCTCGGGACTCATTTTCGTATATTTCCTTAAAATTATTAACGATTGAACGGTACACTATGATTCGATCTCCCTTACCAGATAGACGGGCTAAATAGTATACCTAGCCCTAAGTCCTTGACGATTTTTGTGGTGAGTTTGTGACCTCGCGAGAGCTGATTGTGGAGAGCTTTTCTTTTAGCTTCTCTCTCCCTCTCTGAAATATTTGAACTAGGGTTGGATGACTGGTCGCGAGATTTGTCTTGTATTGTGATTGGTCCAACTCTGCACATACTCCGACTTCCTCCTTGTGTTTGTTGGAGTTGAATCCTGTCAAGCACCCCCATAGTTGCTTTCCGACGGGTTA